TGCCAAACGTCGCTGTCCGGTGACATCTCTTGAGGTAATTTAAAGTTCACATACAAAGCAAATAAATTATTTTTTGAATTCATGTAACCTAAATCAATCGGCAAATGTTTCCTTCATTACTTCCGCGGATATTTTGTTCGTTGCTATTGAACTACTGATTAATTTGCAAAAGTTCCTCCTCCTGCCTTCGTCAAACGTCCAATATCGCGAAGTCGCTACTAATTGGGTTTTAAAACTATAATGTCACGTTAATAATTCCGTTCAGGCTTTCATTCTCTCGCCAACTTGATCCATCCCTTGCCTTTTACCACGAAGTTATACAACTCGTACAAAATTACATTTTTATTTCGTAACAAAGCCATACCCGAATAATTGAATCAAGAATCTGTCATAACGTTTTACCTTCATAAACGAAATACGTCTATCTGTGACAGTAGAGAATTGTTGAGCTCGACCGAATAATTGAAGTTCATATGATACCGTTGTACTGTCTTAGAGGATCGGCTGTGTTTGTCAAGAAAGCGTCGTACGAAGTATGATCTTGCCTGCTTTCTAATGAGTGTTTGAAATTTTCGTTCCTAAACGATCTTGTTCCCCTGAATAAAAATACAGCAGAAGATAAATGCACTCTGACTGCACTTTGAGGCGACTGGATGCATTCGACCGAGAAAAAGCGCGCTAGTGAGTACCGTACATTACCGTGAACTCTGACTAAAAGATTTTAGTGTTAGGGACCTGACGGCGGCGTATGTTCGACTCTAGTTAAACAGCTACGTCGCATCCAATCCACCATCTCCATCATCATCAGGGTGCTAATTCTGGTGTCGCCGGTTGCTCTGAAAGTTTTCGTAGTGTCTCCAATTCATACCAGGCGAATGTACGAGCAGTACGAGCAGTATCTAAAGAAACGGGCCTCTGTGGGCGACCTTTCCTCCTTAATGCAGGGTCTCTCATATCCTCTTATACACACACACATACACTTACATTCACTACCACCCATAATGGGAGACCAACGGAAAGTTAGAGCTTCTCCTCGCATATACCCTACTGTGGAGAGATATCTGGAGTAGGAAAATACCCGCAAGCCGACAAGCAGATCGCCTCCGGATCTGATGCAACAGCGGGTATGGAACACCACCAACTTCCGACTTACAACATGCACTACACTCTCGGGATCATAGTAGTTTAAGCGTCCAGAAACACTAATAAGTAAGTCAACGAATAGACCGAGAAGAAAAAAAAACTTTATTGCTCTGCAGATGTACTCGCGTCAGTGGGGACGGGGGGTGGAGGGCCGACGGAAGGACGATTTGAGGACGGGGACAGCGTGGTCCTCCGCGGCCGGCGCCGTCGCCGGGGGCGGAGGTCCTTGTCGCAGGAAAGGAGAGGGTGAGGCCGCGAGCGCTGGCGATGGCGTTGGCGGTGGCGGCGGCTGCAGCGGGGGCGGCGAAGTCAGCGGCGGCGGGGTGAGGGGCGCGGGCAACGAACCCGGAGGGGGGCCCACTAGGGTCAACTCGTGCAGCAGTCTGTCGGCCCGCATTCGCAGCGCGTAGTTCTGCAGTACGTTTGTCGACAGTCGCGAGATCTGGCGGCCCAGAAAGAAACAAAAAAAAAGTGAAACACGTGCACATATTACCGACGCTATTTTCTTGATCGATGGCCTACCTTCCCCACAATAAACAGTTGAAGGGAAACACTCACAGCAAGAATTGATGACATCATAGCTAGTCAAATGAGGCGTTGCTGACGCTGTAAACTGTTTTAAAAATAGTTCCATATGTTGAAAAAATATTTTATGACCAGCTGTATTCAAATATGTTTTTCTTTCGGTATCTGGTATTGGACTTATCAGTGAATCGTGGCATCGTCGTGTCTATATTGATACTGGTATTTAATCAACGCCACCACATATATCGATTAAGGAGGCGTTGGTTTAATTCCTGGCATCACTAAGATTGCAGCGCCAAAACAAAAAAAAACACGTTTTTAGAAATTTATTCGAATATTCTAGCCGGATCCGACAACAAATGATCAGTTCTTCATAAGGAGACCGAGACGCATCGAATGCCTCGATTGGTGCACGAGAATTAGTCTTTCTCCGAGTGACGGAATTGTACACATACGCACATCTGCACACTCCAGAGTTTTACTGAATTACTGTATAATGATTTGTGCTTAATAAAAACAATTTGGTGTTCAAGACGAGAACTTCTGTTTGTCTTAAGTAAATGGTCGAAGTAGCTCGATATCCATCACAGGAGATGGCGACATCATGAGAACGCAAATTAATGAGAAAGTTGCAATGGCATGACAGATATTTAAGAGATATGCATTGCTTCATAAAATCTATTGGGTGATTTCGTAACTAATACCCTACTTTGTAACTATTTCCCAAAGCCATCGACCAAGAAAAGTTACGCGGTTATTACCAATGACATTTTGGTTCCCGGAAAACACGTCGGTGGTAAACGTAAGACTCCACAATAAATTGCAATATAATTGAAGGGATATTTGATGTACACTGGTGTTTGTGAAAATTGCAACACCCAGAAGGACGCATCTCTTAAAAATTGATGGTGTATGTGTAGAACAATATACATCTAAGAAGTGATTAAACGTGTATAGATATGGCGTGCACGTTGGCCTAGCAGCGCCCTGCTTTGTGTGACAAGTCAGGTCAGTGATACGCCACACACAGCCGGGGTAGAACCGTCAAATGTGAAAACGCGTAAGCAAGTGCCGATATGCCTCGTCGACATGATAAATTCAGAAGGACAATGCCCGACCGCATGTGGCAAGAATATACAAGGTTTCTACGAAGAACGATGGATACCACTACTTCCCTAGTCCTCATGTTCGCCTGACATGTTGCCCATCGGACATGTGTGGGATATTATCGATCTGCAACTCGTTCGTTCTGGTCCTCTTGCAGCCCCTGTCGAAGCTTTGCGGTCACGCATAGCAACAGCGTGAAGGTGTGTTCCCTGCAGTATACACAAGCTCTCTTTGAACCCATGCCACAACGTTTCGACACTATTGGTGGCGCGTTGTGGCTTCATACCACACTAAATACTCATGGTCATAATGCAGGTACAGTTCCAATAATTTGAATATTGTGATATTCTTGAGCTGTGGAAAATATTTCATTGTAATAGTACGTCCCCTGCTTGGTGTTGCAATTTTCACTAATACCAGTGCATACACCAGTACATATTGAAATTTTCGACACTAGCTAGATAGCTAGTTGAAGTTCGCCGCTGCCAGGAAGAGAATTCGAGTGGCCGGCTCCTCTGATCGGTACTTTTCCGTGACTTATTCAAGCAATACCGGGCAATTTCCAAACACACGGGCCACAGATCGCGCGCGATATTTGCTACCTCTTCCTTGGCCGCGTCTCGACCCTCACTTACCTTGCGGGATGGGGACAACCCGCATGCCAACGTGTGGTATCCACCGCTTAGCCGGGAAACAGCAGTGCCACGTCATGATTACGCTTACGGGACTTATGAGAACAGCAGTTGACGCGCCCGAAAACACGAAACAATCAGCCACTCCTCCATCAGCTGTCCATCCACTTACCTGGTTTCGCATGGCTTCGTGGTCTGGTAGGTGGATTCTCACGGGTAGCGGCATCATGGAGTACGGGAGGTCGTTGTGTCCCCAATCGTTGAACGGGTCCACCATGTAGTAGCGGTCCCCGCGAACGTTAGCGTACGCTCTGCAACATTTAGGGACATCACCAGGGGTTAGGAGACGGGGCCGTAATTTACACATTGCTCCGGGGCCCATGACTCTCAAAGGGATCTTGGACCGGCTTAGAGAGGCGCAGGGCATCAGTGGATGTCACTGCAGTGTCTGAGCGGGAGGTCCTAGGATTCAAATCCCAATGTTGGTGGGATTTTCGACACTAACTTTATAGCTAGGTGGAGTTCGGTCACTGCCTGGAGAAAAATTCTAGCGACCGGTGCTCTGATCGGTAGTTTTACGTAGTTTTTCCGATCACCATAAGGCGAATGCCGGAGTGGTACCCTAACAAGCAGGTTATGTACAGCCCGCAAGTTTCCCTTCTTTTTCCTTGACCTATCCTACCTCTTATTTACTCACACATACACTTGAACGCACTCGACTACTATACATGTGGGGGACTAGGTGGGAGATTAGAGTTTGTCCTACCTGGGACGGTGCCCTGCTGGTGGCAGATTCCTGGATAGGGGAATCTCGCAAACCGGCGATTAGGTGGGCGTTGGATCTCATCATCAAGTGGAGGATAACATATCCCGTCATTTCTACAGACATTGTTTTAAGGGGCTAATGACCATAGAAATGTACTGAGAGTGGTGGCTCAGGACAAGGAGTTGATAACACTGCAGTGCCTGTGACCGAGAGGTCGTAAGTTCGAATCCCGACAGTGGCAGGGTTTTCGACACCAGCTCAATAGCTAGGTCGTATTCAGTCGCTGTCTGGAGGAGAATTCTAGCGTCTGGCTGCTCTGATCAGTATGTTTCCGTGGTTTCTCCGATCTACACTAGGTGAATGCCGTATTAGTACCCTAACAACGTGCACCCGAATTGCAGGCATCTTTCCTTCCTTTTCCTTGTCCTATCCCTCTTCCCTTACTTACACGTACACTAACATGCAATACACTACCACACATATAGGAAGCTTAGACCTTGTCCCGCCTGGGGCAGTACCCCTCTCGTAGGATTTACCTGGTTATGTAAAACCCCTCTAGCTCACTGTAGGTCGGCGCCGGATATCACCATCCAGCGAGAGAACATCAATCACCTAGCGTGTAAAACGCATGTACTACACTTACGGGAATAATGACCGTAGCAGTTGATGCGCCGGGAATCACTAATCATTGCAAGGTGCGCGCGCGCGTGCGCGACTGACCGCTGCGGGCCGACGGGCTGGCAGTGGGCGTGGGCGTTCGCGTCGGGCTGGCGTCTGCGCGGGTGAGCGGTGCAAGCGTCGGGCTGGAGGAGCCCGAGGGAGAGCGCATGCCGGATGGTGGAGAGGGGGCGGGGGCGGGGACGGGGAGCGGCGGGGGCGGGCCGCACCACAGGGGCAGCTGCACGTTGCGCCGCGCGCTCTTCTCCGCAGCCACCACCAGAAAGACCCGCGCGACAACGGACGCCTGGACACGCACCGTGGAGAATAGGTTGGCACACCTGACAAGTGATTGTTCAGTCCTGCACTAAACGGTTTCAGAAAAAACACATTATACAACATGGCCAACATCCGGTTGGCCTCTTATTCAAAAATGTGCTCATCGATTATGCCCTGTTTGTTTCTTATTTGAAATATATTCATCGATTACGTAATATGACGATGGATTGACGACGAATACATTTCAAATTAAGTGCTTGAAAAAAAAAGCTTTCACGTTCAAATCTCTTTCCACAATAACGTTTGTGCATACGTGACCAATGAGAGTTGTCGATACGGCAACAATGTGGGGTCGACAGATATATGACAGATAAAATCCCCTCTTGCAAGCTTGTTTTGAGAGTGGATGCTTTGATGAAGATCCGAGTACTACGTAAAGAGGCTTAGGAATTTATACAACTTTACCGGATAATCAATTTTCTTCTATATTTTAAAAAACGGAAGATACTAATGTATTGCTAGTTCTTAATTAAAGTAACATGTTTATAATTACTTTTGGCGTGGGTTACGTGGTAAAGATGTGGGAAAAAATTGTAGTTATTTTACTCTTTTGTTTTTTATCATCTTCGTATTTTCAAATTCAACTACTTTTACTATCTTCGGGCTCTTTGCAGGGCATTTAGGAGTAAATACAGTCATGTGCTAATTTATGTGAACTCTTAACAATGCTGGCTGGTGTATTGAAAGACAATGAACACATTATTGAAAACTAATATGAAATTTGATGATAACTGATAGTGATTATATCTTTCAGTCCTATCAGTAATACTTTCACCACTTTTTAGTATAAACAAATTTATTGAGAGTTTGATTTTACATCGTTAAGACGTTTGGCTCTTTCAAATGTTAGTTGAATATAGAATTCATAACACAACACTGACTGCCAAGACAAATAGAACAGTTTGATATCGATGGCGGGAAACTCAATCGAGCCAATCAATTGATTATTGACTTAGGATATTTCTTCATAATGTGATTCAGAACATTCGACATCGAGATTTCTTGCGACATTCCTTATCTTCTTTCTTCTATAAACGAGTATATAATAATGGATGTTGGTGTGTACCAGATCGACATCTGACGGGTTCCGATAGCCGCAAATAAAGAAACTAAATCTGTTATAAATAGGGATAGCGAAACCTGGATCCTATTAGGACTGCAAGTTTGACGTCAACACAGTTTGTAGTTTCACCACGCCGCCACCGTCGTCTTATCAGCAGCAAGAGGGGAAGGTGCGAAATACCCCTGATTCGGAGAGCCGGACCAAGGCCGGACGCCGTCAGTTGTGACACAGGAGCGAGACGTTCAAGCGACTTGTGGTTCATTCTGTGAAGATTAGTGAAGTAAACCGATACTTTTAAAGTGATTCTAGTGACTCTCGTTAAAGTTTATGCTCAGTTGGTGATCAATAAGGTTTTGAAAGGTAAACATTGGAGTTGTGTAAAACAGTTCGTGATTGTGAAAATACAACGTAATTCACGAAACATTTGAGTGCGAACAAACTTTCACCTACGCACTACCGGTAAGGGAGAGAAAACGAATGTAATCACTGAACTAGTTAAAATTCTTCGTATTCAGTATAAAATTGATTTGAGAACGTATCCATATTATGTATTGCTACGTAATTAAATTAACTGCAATTAAAAAAACTTGTACGATTACCGAAGCAGGAAATAAAAGAAATAGAATCAATTAAAGAAACGAAGGTTCCTATTTCGACTAAAGGCTGTGTGTGAACGGGAGTGCAATGAAGGCAAATAAGACTGTTTCTCTGGTGGTGCTTCTTCCAACACTTGACAGCAATTATCGACTAATTCCATCAATGGGATCCCAAAGATGAACACAGCGAGTGCAGTCGACGGCTGATATCACAAGGGCCACACCTACCAACAACTAATCGCTGTTATGATTGGAGATCGTGCATGCTGGAAAATTAAAGGTAAACCAAAAATAATGTAAATTGCATAGAATTATAGAACAAAATTAATTAGTATAAAACTATCATCGTTCTATAATATAACACTCAGTTTTTATGTTTTAGTTGAAGTCTAGAACACGGTACAACGTAAGGTTTTCGTTTAAACCGGCAAGTAGCGCTACTCCAGCGAGAGGAGTACCTCGGAGTAGGGGAGGAGGGGTGATTAGAGGTATGAGGGAAATATTTCGGTATGGAGGGGCAGTGAGCAACGTATTACTCGCGTACGTTTTCGATGTATACGAACTCCCTCATCCTTACCCAGCGCTGACGCGGAGCCCGTGAGGTACTTAGACTCAATTCGGAACGACACGTACCAATTTACAACGCTGTCAACCACCACCTTGTACTTTCAAAACAATTGTAGCACTTCTCGTGGCACGCTCTGGCAAGTTAAGTCCATGTCCACTGTTGGTACGTCTTTTTAAACGTTTGACATAGCCACAGCCCTTCTCTCCCCGTTGTAGAATATCAAGATTTTTTTCCGCGTTGCACCGCTGTATTTGAGTGGGCGCAAGAACGTGGTTTGATTGCAGCAAGATGTACATGTCCCGTGTGTAAATGTCCGATGAGGTTGTCCAAGTGCAAGAAGTTGTGTGATAGTTTCGAGTGGATGTGCAGGAAGAAAGGAGCCACTCGTCTTACGCGTGAGGGTTCTGTGCGAAAGGGGTCGACTAAGAACCTTTTTCCTGGTTCGTTGAGGGCTTCTTTAAACGTTACGACTCGTGAAAGTCGACTATCGGTAAGTTTTTTTAATTTATTTCAGAGTGCTTAGCGTAATAGGAGGGAGGGCTTAAATAGACTCTCCTCCTCTTTCCCTTCTCCTCGTCCTCGGCCTCTCCCTCCCCTTCGTTCTCTCCCTCCACTCGTTCTCTCCCTCCCCTCGCTCTCTTCCTCCCCTCGTTCACCCATCCCACATTCTCCTCATCCCTAGTTCTACCCCTCCCCTCCTCATCCTTCTCTACCCCCCTTCCCACCGCTCCCACCACAGAAGGGCGTAGCGCGTTTTCTACTTCGGCCTATATTTTTATTTATTGAACTTAAAGAAATAGTTAAAAACTTGTGACGTGCAGTGAAGAAAATTCAAATCTGTGCACAATTTCTTGACATCTGTAATCTGTGCTATATTCGCCTTTGTAGCGCCTCTGATGACAGGAAAACGTGTACCAAAATTACATGTATTATTAAATATTATTTCAAACTAGTTGTAGTCGAATATATATTTTATCCTTGTTAATTATATTTAATTTATTATCGTGCATTTAACACTGCATGCACGTAATGAGCTTTATAAAGTATATATTTCAATTTTTCATTTTTTTTAATTTACATTATTTTAACTTAATTTGAAATTCACCTGTGTTTTGCCCTGGTGTAGAAGGCCCATAAAGACCATTTGTTATTAAAGATTTCTTTATTCACAAGCTGAAGAATACGTCATAGCTGCGAATCATTATAGAGTTGAACTTGTCGTAATTGTGACTGATGTCAATGATCGGAGGTAAACTAAAATTAGTTATTTGTAATAATTTTTAAACAATAATTCATTTACAATAATATATAACTCACATCTTGGTGAAAAGATAATTTATAAGAAATTGTTCATCTTACAAGTGCTAGTACCGCCGCGAAACTGGAAGCAATAATCCCAACCACTCATATTGATATACCCTCAAAACATGTTTGTGTACATATTAATGTACGCACTACTGCACTTTGTAAGGTAATAGTCTAGAATATTTCGGGCAAAGAAGTTGCTTGTACGTGTATCTACTTTCCAGTTGGAAAGAGAACTCTTTAAACTACGAGTATGATACAGTAGACTTGCGATTGTTGGAGGCAAACTGATACTACCCTCGCATACTATAAAATTCAGGTAATTTGAAATTATTCTAAAAATTAATTAATAGTTATTAGCATAAATAGTTTCGTAAATAGCAAATACTAAAGGCGTTTGAAGGACGTAAACCGAGGCGACAGGGCAGGCCTGCAAAACGACTTCCTCCGCGGGCGTTCTGTACTCAAGAGCCGGACGTTTGCCCGGGTGAGCGGCGAGTAGTGGGGGGTGACACTTGCACATACGGGAGGTCGCGGCGCCTCGATTGAATGGCGTGGGCGTCTAATGCAATGACCGATGCTGTGGTCCCACTTACTTGTATTTAAATGGACACTATCTCGTATTTTTCATTGCTTATATGTTATTCATTGTCTACGCACTGCTCTGACATATTCATTATTATTTCCATTTTTAATTTAGTTTAAGATCATTGTGACTCAATATTTTAAAGCAGAGGCCTAGTTGTAAAAAATAATTGTAAAAAATATACAATTCTAACAAACTATAATTTAATAATTAATTTTACCGGTAATGTTATATTGCCGTAATGATAGAAAAACGAAGGGAATTGTGAAAACAATCTCTTGATTAATTTTATGATTGACATTTTCATTGGCATAAAAATGAAATATTGACAATTTAAAGAAGGGATGAAATGTTGTGCAGCACATATTGAGTGACCGTTTTATCCCCTTTATGAACCTGAATGAGAGAGTTTAACGAGCAAACTTCTTTGACGGAATGTTACGAGCAATCATGTGGTTATTAAGGATATTGTTAAATAAAATTCAAAGGATTTAATTTTTAAGCGATGTCGTAAACGATTATCAATACATAATGTTTGTTGATTTAGTATTATAAACCTGTAATGTACTCCTGACAGAAATTAGTTGTTAATAATAATGTTTTATAGCATTGATAGAAGCGGCTTATTTAATTAAACAAAGTAAATGAAAAATTGTTTACTGCTATCATCGAACAAAAACAATTCAATTTAAAATTTTGTGATTGGTACTGCACTAAATTTGTGATTAAATTATATCAAAGCGAATTATTTAATCACCCCTACATGCAATTCTAATACTTCGAGTCAAAATTAAACATGAATATAGTTATTGTTTTAGAGTAATATTGCACATTGTGATATATCGACTGCAAACATTTCCAATATAATACAAAAGGCAATATTACTTGATC